GAGTTCTTGGATAGAGCTATCCTACTCTGTCTGCAATGGACAGCTACCAGATTCTGACACTGATACTTGACTGGCCTATATGGGTCCACCTCCAGCCCACATCTGTCATACACAGTAGCAATGACAAGCTCTGCCCTATTTCTTCCCTATTTGCCTCTTTTATTCTGGGAGTGATAGGCTGTCCGGATGAAGAAATGTTCTGTTGCTGTTTCTGACCTTCCATTTTTCTCACTTAGTCTGGTGTTGGGCATCAATATCCATCTGAGCTCTGCAAGAACAAAAAGCCCCATTGCTCATCAAGGGGAAGTTACTACTGTTCTGGTAAGACTTCCTCTAGCTCTTCCTATCTTAAGTGATCCTACTATAGCAGAGAGAAATCTTGTATGTTTTTAAAAGGTTTTTAAAGGAAGCAGGTTTATTGTAAAGGAAGAACTGTTTTTCACAGAGAGGAAGGTCATAATACTGCTTGTGGTATTGCTCTGCATTAAGAAAAGATGTTAAGATCTAGCTATGGCATCAAGAACTAACAAAACCAGAATGATACTGTTGAATGCATATTTTCAAAATAGCTGATAGTGACTAAAGAAAAACCTCACTTTTTGGGGTATTTTTTTCCTGCAATACTTATTCCTTGTTTTGCTGAAGCAATTGAGGTGCAAAAGCCAAGATTCTGTTACAGGATTTAGTTTGATGTTCTAAGAAAAATGTAATTAAAAAAGGCTGCTCTTTCTTTAACATTTGGTTCTGTAAAACCCTTTCATGTTGAGTAGTAATTTATTCTAGAAATGACAACCTCAAATTCACTGTCAGAAACAGCGGTAGATGCTGACCTTTAAATTTCTTTAGTTCACGATGGATTGTTTAGTTATGTTTATATCAGCAGGGCATGATCATAGTCCTTTTCTACTAATTCCTGCTAGTTACTTTTGACCCTAAACAAGCAGTCATGGAAACTGTGTCCAGATTTAAATCAAAGCAAATTTCCAAAGGGCTCTTTATCGACACTTCTATGCCTTTTTTTCTCCCAAAACAATATGTGACAAGCAGAGTATCCATGCACCCAGTCAGTATGGACTGAGCCATTATCTAATGAAGAATATAAAACCAATCAACTCATCTCTTATTTAGCTTTTTTTGAGAATTTCAGAAAGATAGAAAAACTTCAAGAACTTTTTCTCTTTTGGATGGGTTTGTTTTCAGCTGTCCTGAAAACATATATTGAAGAAAGAGAGTCTTATTACTTATCATTGGGCCATCTGCCTTCTAAGGATTTTGTAGCACTACCTGCAAAAGAGCACTGAGGATTACAGGGCAGACATGAGTAGCTTATTTTACGTAATGTTTCTCCAAAAATTTTTGCAGTGCTGTAATTCATTATTCATGTGCTATTATAATAATGATAGGAAGTTTAAACATGACTGTATTTAAAAATAAATATTGTAGAAGTGTATTAAAGAATTCTATGAAGCTGATGGTAACCATAAAAGCAAAATCTGTACAAGTATGTAATGTGAATGGAAAATGGAATATAGCCCCAAATCACTTTTCCCAAATCAGTGTTATCAGTTGCAGCTCAGCCTCAAGCAACTACAGAAGACACTCAAGTGCTAATAATGTGTATGCTATAGAAACAAGTATTCCACCTATCCTTTGGAAACAGCAAGTATCTTGCAAGCCAACTCTGCTGTTTGTTTTCCTATTTGATGTTCAGCTTCCTTGCAGTGATTGTTAAAATATTATTTCCC